GCAGCATGCACATAATATTCTCCAAGATGACTGGCATATGGTACTGTTATGTGTCTTTTAAGAAAATCTCCAACTGAATCCAATATTTCCCATGTGGCACCTGATACACTGTGGGCGTGGGATATTTATAGAGCAGTAATAATGATATTTGAAAACACTGTAATGTCTAAAGGCTCTATTTTCCTGCATTTTGCAGACATAAGCTCCCGCTTTGCAGCAATTGCTGGAATGTTGAGCACGGTCAGGATTCACAAAATGGCTGTTTCGAGTATTATTGCCTCTCAATCCTTCTGAAGGCACCTGCTCATGGGAAGGGGGATATTTACAGGTAAGTAATTGCCACCTAGGCCTTCTCATGCTTGTCTTTTGCCCTTCAGTAGAATCAAGTTTTGGATGCATTTTCTCCTTTGAAAACTTAGTACAGCCTCTGGCTACATACAGTAATTCTTAAAATTCTCAAATCTAAGAATCTTAGGCTCAGATGCTCTGTGATTTGGGAGTGACCCTACTACCATGTCAAAGCCTCCCCCTTTTTTAAAACCAACGAGGACACTGGTTTGCTGACAGTGCTCACTGCAATGCCTCCGGTTTGTTTCTGTAGCTAGTGGGAGGCTGCACCTCATCAAGCTCAGTGCTATTCTATTTAATTCAATGCATGTTTACTAAAAAGTCTTTTGAGGTAATAGCTCCCACTTTGTGCAGGTAAAAACCAGGCCCTATTTGTGTCACCTCATTTAGTTTTTATCAGAAATTTATGAGGAAGGCATTATCTCCATTTCACACATGGGGAAAACCAAGTCTCAGAGAGGTTAAGTGTCTTGTTCAAAGACCCAGACCTGGGCCTCCCTGGTGGCGCAAGGGGTTGATATGCAATCTATGGGTTGTCGGCAGACTGCAGCACGAATTCGATCCCCGCCCAGGGAGCTGCCCACATGGCACAGCAGACCTCTCCTGTCTCCTGTCTTGCCCGCTGCTCCCCTCAGCAGTGTGTTTTGGTGGATCTGCCTGTTCTGTTCCCTGCTCTGTCTCTGGTGAATCCTTTCACTGCCCCCATGCCTCTGACCTGTACCCCAGTTCTTGTATGCATAAATAAATAGATAAAAAAAAAAAAAAAAGACCCAAACCTAGTAAGTGGACGAGTCAGGATTCGAAGCTGAGACAGTCTAACCCTGAGCCCTGCTCCTGCCACCAGATCAGGCTGGAGATATGGTTCATCCACATGGGCAGGGAATAAATGCTGTTGTGTGTGGCCTGGCACTGGCATTCACTTTCCAGCCTGAGCTCCATCACATGGTAACAGGCTGCCCACCATTTGCCAATCTGAGGTGACCCAGAGGTAATGAGGCATGGCCCCTGTGCTGGCAGAACACCCCGGCCATGTGGGAGGCAGGTGTATGAACAGACGACAGAGCACCTTGTGATCCAAGCTAGAGACAGGTTTGATCAGGGCCTGTAAACTCAACCCAAGTGGTCGGTCGGGATAGTCCTGTGAGGCGGTGATGCAGGACCTGGGTCTGGAAGGATGAGGAGGAGTCGGCCAGCTGCAGAGGATGACTGTGAGGGGAGGTGGGGCTGCCAGGCAGGGGACCCACTTGGAAGAGGGCCCCAGGAAGTCAGAGGGGTGGAGAGGGTGGACTAGCCTCGTGTGCCCGTCATAGATCAGATCGCGGAGGGCCGTGGATATATTACCAAAGTCGGAGAAGACTCCAAACAGGGGTCTAGGGGAGCCCTGAGGGTCACAGATGGGGGCAGACATTGGCTTGGAAAGAGAAGTTACTCAGTGTAGGAGGACGACTGGAAAGGGGCTCGCACTGGGGCTGGGGGTAGCGTTGGAGGCTGGTATAGGTAACCAACCACAGGGATTGTGACCTGAACCAGGGTGAGAGTGACCACGGAAATAGAGGCGAGCACCCATCAAGACCTGTCCAGGAGACAGCCTGTAGGAAAAGAAAAGGGAGGGGGAGGCAAGGATGAGCCCCAGCCTGCAAGCCAGTGCAGGAGGCCTGGGCGTGGTGTCAGCAGCTGAGCCCAGGAACACAAAGATAGAGGTTTCCTAGAGAGAGCTGGGGCCCTGGGGTGGGGCGTGGACAGGGGGCTCAGGAGAGAAGTGAGGGGTTGGGATGGGGTTGGGTGGAACAGGGAGAATGACAGTCCTGAACAGCCGGGCAGTGCCCAGAAGCCAGCAGTGCTCAGCAGCCCAGGGGGCCGTTTTTGGAGGAGTGGAGACCATTGGACAGCCGCTGGGTCAGGTTTGCAGCTGGGTGAGGGGAAGGACTAGGATACAGTGTCCAGGGAGAGCCTGGCCTGGCGAGAGGAGGAGGGGGTGCCAGGTTATAAACTCTGCAGGCTCTAAGGAAACCCACAGAGGATGCTCGTGGTGTCTAGGCAGTATCTGTGGGTGCAGGACAAGTCATGTTCAACCTTCTGAGGGGGGAGGTCCCCAGTCAATAGTGGCCACACTAAAGAGCTGTCTTAAGCACAAGGCTTGTGCAGGTTTCCTTGGCACAGGGGGCTGCTAAGGAGCCTTTGGCTGGTGAGGTGAGGGTGCTGTCTGCCTCTTTCCTAGGACTGTGTGGCTGGACCTGAGGGGGCAGCCCATCTGAAGAGTGTTTCCCTGGGCAACCACACTCCAGGACATACTTGCCCAGGGCAGCATGAGGGGAAGAAGGAGCACTGGGCCAGGAGTCCAGGGATGTCCCCTACAGCTCCTCCTTGGCCCTTGATTTGCCCATCTGGAACCCAGATGATCACTATTGTCCCTTCTGGCTCTTTGAAACCATAGTGCTAAGTATGAAAGGATCACACACAAAAAGAGAGGAATTTAAAAGCAGCAGCCATTGGCTGTATTGCAAGCTCTCTCTCAGGGCAAGCTAAGTAAACCCACAAGGGACGTTGGGCCTGTGTCCCAGAGTGCTGGGAGCTATTTCTCTCTTTCTTTTTTTAATTTAAAAGAGCATGGCAGAAGAGAAAAGCACACTTTCATAAACACAAGTGGGTAGAAAGAGCTGCCCCGAGGGCCTCCCTGGTGGTGCAAGGGGTTGAGGCACCTCCTATGAAGCTGTCCACAGTCTCTGCAGCATGAGTTCGATCCCCCGGCCGGCCAGGGAGCAATCCACATGGCACAACAGACCTCTCCTGGCTCGCCTGCTGCTCACCTCAGCAGTGTATTTCAGTCAGTCTGCCTGTACCCCAACTCTTGTATGCATAAATAAATAAATCTTTAAAAAAAAAAAAGCTTCCCCGAAAGGGACAGGTTTGCTGAGAAAGGCCTGCATGGTTGAGGAGAGCGGCCTCCACTGAGGGAGGTCAATGAAGAGAAGTCCTGGGCTGGTACAGGTCACTGGCAGGCATAAAGCTGCTGCCCTGCAGAGGGAGAGAGCTGGTGAAAAGAAGCACCTGCATAGGCACAGGTGGGCAGAAGGACTGCTGCCTGGGAGCTTAAATGTGGGAGAACCCAGCGAGGGGAGAAATCCCAGTACACCAGGGAGGGAGTCAGGCAAAGCTTCTCTCCCTGCTGCTTCCGATTTCAATAGTCTCTCAGCTGCCACATGGGTGGCCTTTTGAAAGATTTTGACAGTAAAGGAGTCCAGTTAATTGGATCCCGGAGGTGCCAGGTGCCATGGTAGGTGCTGCACGAGTGCTTCTCAGCCTCACGGCCACCTTTACAGGTATTGCCAGCCCCACTGTCCTGCATGGAAATCAAGGTCTAAGAACTTGCCTGGGTGGCAGTGCTGGAATTTTAACCCACAGCTGTCTGAGCCGGCTCTGTTTGTCCTGCAGGGAGGCCCAGGGAACTCTAGAGAGTCTCCTCAGTCGGTTCAAGCAGAGGAAGGTCCTCGTGCAGGGCACAGAGTTTTCAATGGATGCATCAGAAGCTTAATCCACCTGATGGGCCAAGGAACTAACCTGGTGAGGGCCGCCTTACAGAAGTTGTAAGGAAACTGCTTTTATGGGGTCTAGACCCTGGGGAGGGCACCCCCCCCCCCCCAGCAAATGACAAGCAGCACCTCTCACTGCCTGACCAATGCTGCTGACAGTGGGTTATGGTCTGGGAGAAACGGGGACATTTGACTGGGGGGCCCCTCCTCCCTTCCTAAAGGCCCCACAGCACCTAGAGAGGCTTGACCCTCCATCTGCGCTGTGACTATGCAGCCTGGTGGGTCCTTGGCTGACGGGGAGGAGCATAAGCGTCTGGCAATGGCTGAGATGTTTGAGGGTAACAGGGTGCACTCTGGCTCACGCCTTCAGGAGAGGATCAAGCTGGTGCAAATGAATCCCATCATTCTGATTTAGGAGAAGGCGTCTTGCCTCTCTCTTCCTTTTTGCATCACTCCCGGAGTGATACAGCTAAATGGCTTTTTATTCACAACAAAGTTATTTCCAAACTATCAGCTCACTGTCATATTTGAAACTTTACTCTTAGTTGGGTGGGAGGAGTCTGTTGAGCTCCCTCAGTCACAACTTTGGACTGCGGAAGACAGTGTCCTGCACACCGTGCATTTTGTTTTAAGGGATGGATTTAATGTTCAGCTTTTCTCTAACTGTCATGCCCACTACAATTACTGGTAATTATTTTGTCTTGCTGAGAAATCACAGTGGGACATGGGCTACGCAGAAGACGACAGACTGACAAACACATTCCGACGGGGTAAATGTAGACTCTTAAGTGGTTGTATTTAGATTTCGGTAATGGCTTGGAGGAGGAATGCCCTCTTGCTGCGTGTGTGCGGTGGGGAGTGGGGGCCACTAAAATTACTTCTAAACAAAAAAAAAGCAAGTGGAGGTAATCAGTAATCTAGGAGGAGGTAAGAACCAAGAAAATGAAGGCCTGAAAAATTAGGATATTTTAAGACCGAAAATGAGATTTTGTTTGTAATAGACTCACAAAAAGAATGTCAATCTTTCGAAAAAGTCTGCAATTACCAGAGTGACAGGCCTCTGCTTCTCATTCCTTATTGCAGCAGATATTGATCAGGCACCCATCATTTTTTAAAGCATGCCAATTTTTTTTTTAATAATAGGAATCCCTTAATGTCAAACTCTATTGCTATACATGTTACAATCGCTGATTGATAAGACACATTTAATTAGAAATGAGATTTGTAAAGGTTGATAGGGATTTTTATTCAGTGATTCACATCCTGGATCAGATCCTTGTGAAGACAGACAGTTTCGAAGAGCGGGGGATTTATCTCGTAGAATCATTCATGGCATTTGGCATCCTGGTGCATTCCTGATTTGGGCCACAGTCTTTCGAGCCAGGGTTTAAATAAGAGCAGCCTTGCACAGACAGACAAGGGTGAGGTGGACCTGAAAGCAAAGCAAAACAGGGCACACAAAGGAGAGGAGGCTTGAGGAGAACTGGGGTGAGCTGGTTACTATGAATGAGTTTCATTTTAGGTGAGGTTTACATGTAGTTTCCAGAACTTCTAAGACCATGACGGAACTTTGACCAAACTCATTGCCCACTGGAAGCTCAACTCACAGTTCTGTCTCTTCCTAGTGTGTGGCTTTGAGCATGTTTCTTGTGCCTCAGTTTCTCATCTGTAAAATGGGCCCCTTTCTTACAAGCCTGCTGTGAAGACTGAAAGAGGTCATCCATTGAAAGTGGTTGGCACAGTGCTCTGTGTTAGTCGTTGCTATTCCTGGGATCGAAGTGGCTATTTTCTGTCTACCCAACATGCAAATCTCTTCATTCTGAGGTAAAAGGGGGGCTTAGCCTGCACAAGGGAGGGGAAGGTGGTCCTGGGTGCAAATGCACACCCCCTCCTGGGATTTTAATCCTGAGGGCGTGACACAAAGGTGCTCAACCAGTTTAGAGATGATTTGCAGAGCCGGGTTAGTGAAGAAGGGGCAGCTGGGCCACAGTGGTGGTGACCTGACATAACCCGGCCACCCAACTTCCTGGTCTGGCTTGCTGCTGTTGACAATAAATTCTTTTTCTGCTGCTTAGCCAGAAGTTGCCTATGGTTTGCAACCAAAAACTCTGAGGAGCCATGCTCAATGGTGCTGTTGCAAGCACTGCCCCCAAGAGATAAGGAAGAAGGGAGTCCTCTGGAATCCCCTCACATTGTGCATAGAAGACAGTCTGAAAGTCCACCCTAGTAGCCAGAATGACCTCAGAGCCACGCAACAAGATCCTGGGGCAGAAATCCTGCTGGGGAGATCTTAGCAGACTGCTTGGAGGGGCCCAGAGCAGCCCTGCCCTGGACCTCTGAAATTGGAGGTGGGGGCGGGGAGGGCTAGGTAGGAAGCCAGGGGGTAGAGGAGTTGAACAAACATTTACCCAGGACCTAAACCGCAGGGGTTTTTGGTCTCTAATCCTCTATTTCTGTTTTTCTGCCAACTGCTTCCTTGCAGGGAACATGGGATTTTTCTGTGAGGGGGCAAGGGTGTGTTTATCAGCTTGTGGCAAATTACATGGTAAACACAGATCCCCCTGGTTGAGGCAGTTACTGAGTTTCTTTGTTAGATTAATAAGATTACAACAATCTGGGCAGCCTTTCAAGTGTTTATTTTCAAAACCTTACTTCAGAGGGTGGTTGTAATATAGTACTGGGCCTGACTAGAAATCCCGGTATTTGCAGAGAGCGCATTTGTGTTCTAAGTGCCTTTTTCTATTTTCCACAAGTGGAAAAACAAAAGATCATGAATCATCACCTCTGACAATTAACAGTCAGGACCCCAGAGCCAGTTTTGTGGTCAACAAGCTAATGTTTATCTTAGCACCTGCCAGGTTGTACTGCAGGCTTTAAAGGGCTCTGGAAAGAATAACTATTTTGGGGATCTTGCTTGTGCACTTCAAAGCCCTTTGGTAGACTGACTGGCCTTCAGCTTGTATCTCTGTGTAATGCAGCAAAAAACATACTCAAAGTGAAATTCTGTTATACAAACCCTGTTTTCCTGTTATTGTATTATTGCAGCTCTTTGGCAAAAACAGGTCACCTTCACCTCTCAGCACAGGGAGCTTTCTGGAGGAGGGGACCCAGCACTGGGGTGGCTGGAGGGCTTTCTGTACTGTACTTTGGAACTTCTATGCCATGGGCCCTCGTTCTCACTGTGCAGCCCTGTGCCCAGAGAGCCATGAGAATTGGGGGGCTATGGGAAGACTTAAAACCTTCTCTGCTGTCAGGAGCTTTCGGTCCTGCTGGTGCATGGACCTCACGTGCCTTCCAAACACACAGGCCGTCAGAGCTCCCAGTGTTCCCTCCCCAGTTCACTTTCCAATGCAATCTCCCCGCGACCACCCACTCTCTTTCCCTCTAATCCACAGCCCCAGATGCTGGGCTCCTTGGTCCCACACTGCCATCCCCCTACCCTACGCCATTTCATGCTGCCCTCTCCCCAGCCCTTATTGGCCCAGTTCCCTGCACCTGCACCCCCTTCCCCACCACCGTCTAGTCTCTTCCTTCCACACCCAAACTCAGGGCTGCTTTTCAGGAAATCATCCCTAATTCTCAGCCTCCCTTATTCCTAAGTGCCTAGCATGGTTCTGGGGCTCCCCACTGGTTTTATTTTTATTTTTATTTTTTTTATTTTTTTTTTTTATTTATAGAGGCATGTTTTATTTATTTATTTATTTATTTGTTTGTTTGTTTGTTTTTTGTTTTTTATACAAGCACTGGGTACAGTCAGAAGCGCGGGAGGGTGAGAGAATTCACCAGAGCCAGAGCAGGGAGCAGAGCAGGCAGAAGGACCGAAGTACACTGCTGAGGGGAGCAGCGGGCGGCAGGAGAGGTCTGCGCGCCATGTGGGACCCTCCTCCGGTGGCCGGGGAGCAGCCGGGGATCGAACCGGCGCCGCAGAGGCCGCGGGCAGCTTCGCAACCCAGCGCTCAACCGCTGCGCCACCGGGGAGGCCCTCCCCACTGGTTTTAGACTTGACTGCCTGTCTGATTCTTCCATGAGACTCTGTGCTTTGAGGGAGGCATTTCAAATTCACCCTCCACAGTGAGCTTAGGATGTAACAAATCCAGGGATTTAGTAAATATTAAATAAGTAAATGAATGAATAAATGAAGAAAATAATAAATATGCTAATATAGATACAAATAATGATTAGCTTCTCCAAAGGGCATTTTGGTTTATAGGGATTTCATACTCGTAGTTAATATGCTCCTCATGGCAAGTAAGGAAGGTAGTTACCACAGCCTGCATTTCACAAAAAGCTTCAATTACAACAAAAGTGTGATATATATTTACACCTATACATATATATAAAAATCATAACAATAAATAATAGCTCTAACATCTGAGGACTATGTGTTAGGTACTTGGTAAACATGTTAGAACAGCTGGGCAATGTAAGCAGTCATCTTTTACGGTTGGGGAAACTGAGTCTCAGAAACTTATCTAAAGTCAAGATTGGAACTTATACCTCAGGACTCCCAAGCCCTTGGTTGATCCCTGACACAACGTTAGCAGACAGGAGGATGGAGCCAATCCCAGACAGAGGGTACCTGAGCTAAATCCTGAAGGACTGACGTGAAGGTCAGGAAAGAGTGGACAGCTTGGTCAGTGGGACTGACATGGGCAAAGGAGCAGAGATGGACGCAGCTAGGCCCGGCTCAGGCCCTGCGACCCAAGGGGTAGGTACTATAGGTGTGGCCAGTGGAGCAGGAGGGACAGAGTCATCAAGGCCTCAAAAGCTTGGGCTTTATTTTGTGCAGAAGGGCACCAGTGTGCGTGTGGTGTGGGAGAGGTGGGTGAATCCTCTGCTTGTAGGGGGAGAAGCTGGAGGCAACGAGACCATTTATAGGATACAGCAATCATTTGGACAAGCCAAGAGGTAACCTAACAGGGTGATCGAACAGAAATAAAAAAGCAGGCCAGACAGACGCAATGTTCGGACTCCTTTCTATATCTCTCCTCTTTGTTCTTAGGCCAGAGAAATTTCCTCAATGAAGAAATTTTGTTGATGAAATATCCCATCCTTTGCTGCTTCAGACCTCTGTGCCCTTGCACTTACTACTCTCTCTGCTTCAAGTGCTCCCTCTCCCACACATCCCCACATACCTGGAGAATACCTAATCATCCTTCAAAAGCTTGCTCAGGTATAACTCCTCCAAGTAGTCTTTCCTGCCCACAAGCAGGGTGGAGTTAACGGTCCCATCTGCGAACCACCTTTCTCCCTTAGAGAAGCATCTGTTGGGGCATCCATGCCAGCGTGGTTTGTTCACCCCGTCTCCCCTGGTAGACAGTGAACTTCTCCATGCTGCGACTATTTTCCCCTTTGTGTTCCTGTACCTAGGGCAATTCCTGACACGTACTAATTAATGAATAGAAAGGAATGAGCCAGCAAATGCAGGAATGAGTAAAGAGTGAGTGAAACCCATTATTCTCCTCCCTCCTTTCCCACGATTGGTGAAGTCTCACAGGTGAGCAACACTGGTTATTCTCTCTCAGATGAGAGTTTCGTTTTGAAAAATGCCTTCATTTTAGCATTGTTTTTGTAAAGATGAATGCGTGTCTCACTCAGTGAGTTTGAAACCTCCAAACAAGAAAGGCTTGGGAAGAAATGAGAGAAGAGGAGAGAGGAGAGCGTGGTGGGCCCGTGCCTACAGGTGCGGCTTTCCTGAGCATCATGGGGAGAACAGGACACCTGGCTGGAGTTCTCTGTCACCAGTGGCCTCCTTTGCTCCCAAGCAGTCAGTAGGGAAAGACTGAAGATGGCGTGGAACACCAGGAAGGAGATGTGTTGTTATTCTGCCTGGCTGGTCAGGTATGGCCTCAGGAATTAGCACTAGCTTCCCAAGCTCGCCCAACTTAATAGATGATTTTACTAGTAAATGTATTCCTTTCACTTACTAAGATGTACATATAATTCAACATAGACTTAAATCTGTTAATACACACACATCTTCACAGGAAAGCAGGAAGTGCATGGAGACAAACAGCTTAACCTTAGACGGGAAGCCATCTGTGATTTCAGAACAAGCGTTTTCACTTACTTGAGGTGGCGCACTGTTGTGAAATGCTAAATTAAATACCACAAAACATTATTATGGTTTCAAAAAGTAGTTACAGGCTTCAATAAGCACACTTTTATCACAAGAACACACAATCTAAAGCCAAAATAGTTTGGTTTACTGTGCCAAAAATATGCTCACCCCATACATTGTTAGAAAGAGCAGTAGGGAAAGAAATCTAAAATTTGCTGCTAATTCATTTGATGGCAGCCAACATCTCCTATCTTCCTTGGCAAGAGGGCCGTTTTTTCTATGCTGTATTTTGCACACAGAAATCTGCATAGAGTGATTTGCATACCAAAAACACATTTGTAAAAGAAACTGTTTGCACAGAGGCCAGGGGAAGATAGGGTTGCCATCGTTGGCTTCTAAACACGCAACACCCCCAGGCTACTTGCTTTTCATTTTCCTACGCTGCATTTTCCACAAAGGGTTATGTACTTATGAGGCATTAAAAATTAAAGCAAATTCATCCTGTATATAACCAGGAACAATCATAACAAAAAAAAAAAACACAGGCTAAGTCTTTCCACACTCATAGCCTTTAACTTTTTACTAAGGAGCTGTAATAATAAGTGCTACAATCTATTGAAATTTTATTTTATGCCATATGTTTTACATGAATTATTGCTAATTCTCATCATCGGTCTTTGAGATAGGTGCTGTGATTCCCTATTTTACATGGGAGGAAGCTGAGGCTTGGGGGGAAGGTTAGGTAACTTGCTGAACCCCACAAGCCAGGAGTGGTCAGGCTAAGTTTGGATGCCTGGTCTGACTGCTCAGCCCTTTCCCGCCACCCCTACCCACCCTTGCTTCTCTCGTCCCAGTTTCGTTACATACCATTGTTTTATTTCCATGGGCTGAGCCTACCAATCTGGGGTAGTGAGGAGTCATGTTGGCAGAGGTTTGCCACTTCTGTTTCCTGGCACTTTTTTCTGACCATGCCAGTAGGCAGAATAACCACAGTCTCAAGGCTCAGTGAAGGTGCCCAAGAAATTAGCTCAATGACAGACACGGGGTGAATAGGCAATGACCTGTGACTCAGAGAGTGTTGGGTGGGGGCAAATCAGATTGGTTACTGCACAAAGAAGGTACATGGTATTGAGATGCAATGGGACCCTCTTGCTTGGTGCCCATGTGCTATCACTAATCCCGTGCCAACCCAGCTGTATTCTTGGAAACACAGAATGGTTTTGTGTGTGCTTAATTATAATGCTACTTACAGAGAATTTACCAGCAGCAACTCAGATGCTTGATGCATTTCTTAAGGAAAAAAAATTGGTAGTAGCTCTTTGAAACATGTTCTTCTGATGAATCCTTTGGGTTTTTCCAGTATATAAAAAAAATCCACCATTTCTGGAAAGTCAAAAGGGCAAAAAGGGCAGAATGAAAAGACTTAGGATGACTTCAAAGAAGAATTATAAACATTTGCTTTTAAAACGATGTTTCTCTGTGTGTGTGTGTGTGTGTGTGTGTGTGTGTGTCTCATCTAGTTTCTCTTTTTCAAAGCATGATTGCAAATTTGCTATCTAATCTTATTTTGTTATCCATGGGAACACCATTGTCCAAAGATTCCTGGCTTTGACACTTCATTATGTAATAGTCACAGTTAGAAAGCAGTTTTTCTGACACTTTCAGTAACAAATCCCTTTTGATATGATCTACTGCAGTGTGCCTTATAGCAGGATTCAGGCTAAAGCAAGTTGTGTGACAATGAACGGTTTTGGAGACAGAACTGGTTTCAATCCTGGTTTTGTCACTATGGTTTTGCCTCATGTGATCTCTCTGAGCCTCAGTTTCCTCATCTACAAAATAAGGAAAAGAATAAAGAACAGATCCTGGTTATCTACCCAACAGCCACTTCCCACTTCTTCCTTGCTAGCAACAACAAAAAGTCCCCATTCTGTCCAGGTCTCAGTGGATTTCACCCTGGCAGATGTGTTACATTGATCGAAACCCTCCATTCTTATCATCAATGAGTGGCTTAAAGGGGTTTCGGGAAAGCAAATAATTTCATTCTGGTCAATGAGGCCAGATGGGAAATCTGCCAGAAACTCGGAGAAAGATTTTCCTTTCTGATAAGCCCATTTGCCTTTGCCTCCATGCTTCCTGATTGGGATGCTGTCCTTGAGATACAATGTCTGCTGTGGCAGCTACCTCTTGAAGACAAGGGGAAACAGTGCTGAATACTGAAGATGGTGAGTATAAGACCCAAAAGAGCCTAGGTACTTGGGGACAGCACCGCTCTGTTAAACCAGGACTGGCCTACCTAGCTCCAGATTTATTGTCAACAATAAATATCTTTCTGGTTTTGTGTTGCTAGCAGTCAAAAGAAAATAAAAGAAATAGAAAAATGCTAACATACAAACACCAGCCTCACAAGATGGTTGTAAATAAATGATCCATTCTGCTAAGCACACTGTCTGGCATAGTAAACAGTTGCTATAAATATTAGTAGCAACATTTATCAGACATAGGTAATCTAAAGGAGTAAAGGTTTCAAAACACAGCACAGATAAATAAGATGAATGATACTGATTTAGTATGACATAAAAAACTTTATGTTCTTGATAAGAGAGAGGGGAGGGCCTCCCCAGTGGCGCAGTGGTTGAGCGCTGGGTTGTGAAGCTGCCCTTAGCCTCTGCAGTGCCAGTTCGATCCCCAGCTACCGGGCGAGTGTCCCACATGGTGCGCAGACCTCTCCTGCCACGCCTGCTGCTCCCCTCAGCAGTGTACTTCGTCACTCTGCCTGTTCTACTCTCTGCTCTGGCTCTGGTGAATTCTCTCATCCTCCCGCGCTTCTGACTGTACCCAGTGCTTGTATAAATAAGTAAATAAATCTTTAAAAAAAAATAAAAAAAAAATAAAGCAGCTGCATCATTTAAAAAAAAAAGTGAGGGGAGCCATTGAGGTATAAGAACAATGATTACAGCGACAAATCCTCATCTGGAGTAAAATGTAACTACAGCCAGAATTCAAATGCTATTGGAGATGAAAGGACTGTGGTTCTTTGCCAGGTTTCCATCCACCCTCTTACAAATAGACAATCACCCTGTCAGCAGCTCCAATTCACGTCTGAAGACTAACAATTACGTGTATGTGAATTACCAGTCTTGCAAAGGGGCAGAGTTCTTTCAACCCGCAGAAACTGTTTCTAGAATACCAAATTTTAGTATTTTCTAAAAACAAATTTTATTTCTTTATGGTAGAAAAGATAAATAGACTGATATATATATATATATATATAAATTATAATAATTTAGGTATATAGTTTCCAGAAATAGAGCCTACCATCTTGGAGCTCTCACAGGATGATATAGAGTTTACATGAAATCCCCAAATTTTGAAACACCCTGCTAGGACACAAAATGAGAATACAGTAAGATAATATGCAAAACTGTTAGTGTGTAAAATGAGGAGTAACCCAAGACCTCCAAACTTGCACTCAAAAAAGATTCTGACATCTGCCACATAATGACAAAGCATACTACTAATGTGAAAGAATTTTAGTAGTGTGCAAAAAGAGAAGAAAGGATAATAATTTCCTGATAAAACACCCAAAGTTACCCATCCCCTTGTGGGTAAATGCCCAGCCCAAAGGGGTTGGCTCAAGGCTGACCCTCGGAGGCCCAAAAGCTTGCCACATGTCTAAGGCACCTTCTGGTGGGAGCAGAAGCAGCCAGGCAAGTCTGGGACTAAAGGAGAAAAACCGGAGTACAAGTCAAGATACAGGCTGACGTTGTCAACCTCCCCATGGGTCTTTCACCTGCATCTTTTCCAAGTGTCTCTGCATGCCTTGACTCCATCTATCTCCTTCCAAGTCACTCAAGTACCCGGTGCAAATCCAAAGCTGAGAAGCAAGAGCGACTTCACATCTGTCAGCTCCACATGACTCCTCCAAGTCTCCTCTCCCAGTCCCCTAACTCTGTTCCCTGTGTGTCCTCCAGCCTTCTCCATATCTCCTTGCTTCCTTAGGTGGGCAGGGAATCTGGGACCTCCCACTTTCATGAAGATTACACTCTAGCAAAAGTACCAAGCTACAAGGTAATATAGAGTCGATGCTCAATAATCTTAAACCATACGTTTCCCATTATTCTATGTTATAACAAATGCCAAGATTACAAATTGAGGATTAAATACACACATACACACATTGATAGCCAATAAGGTTTAGGGGACAGCGTATATCTATCCAAACCCTACACCTTCTATGGGTATGGCAGCATACAAGTATTGGTCTTCAAAAATGACGGCCATGATGCTTTATAAATCTTTGAATTATTAATCATAAGTAACATATTATAAAAGAGAAGTAATCAGACATATAGACAAAAATTCATCAAGAATTAAAACCAAAAGATTTCTGGTTTCCTTGCAGTTTATTAAATAAAACCACCAATTTCTGACCATTTCGGTTAGCTGGGATTTTCTTGTATGTTATACACACACTTGCTTTTCTCAAAATCTATCTGCTCCTTTTCCTTTACAATAAAGGTCAAAATTGCTAGCGGCTCAACTCCTCACATTGTGAAATGAGTCTCCAAAATTAATGACCTCTGCACCACAGGTGATTAAAACATCATTCATTTCTTAGAGGCAATTTCCAGCCTTTACAACATGGTAGATCATCTGTTCCTGCTCATTTCTGTGGAATTTAACATGACAATTTAACACAGTCCGTTGTTTATTTTTGTGGTTAGAGTCTTAACTAAATTAAGGAAGACAGAAGTAAGGATCATATCTTAAGGAAAAAATAGATATTTGGAATGCATTTTATAGTCTCATGATATTTTTAAAAACAGCTTCATTGAGATATAATTCACATACCATGAAATTCACCCTTCTTGAGTGGTTTTTAGATTAATCACAAAATTGTACAATCATCACCACTAATTCTGTGACATTCATCATCTCCCCAAAACCCTATATCCATTAGCAATCACTCCCCATTCCTATCTCCCATCTGGCCACCTTCACCGCAGCCCCCTACTGCCAAGGGACTGTCTGTTCTGGACATTTCATATGAGTGGCATTGTACCATATCCAGCCTCTGTGTTTCTGGCGTCTTTCACTTAGTACAATGATTTCAAGTTTCATTCACATTGCAGCATGATTTTATTCCTTTAATCCTTTTTATGATGGAAATATTCCCTTGTATGAATATACAACATTTTTATTCATTCATCATTTGATGGACATTTGCTATTTCCACTTTGAGGCTATTATGAATAAAGCACTTCATGATTATTTTTTATTGAGGTGAAATTCATTTAACAATTAACCATTTTAAAGTGTACAACTAAGTAGTATCTAGTATATTCACCATGTGTTCAACCACCACCACTTTCTTCTTTGAAAACTTTTTATCACCCATATCTATTAAATAATCACTTCCCATTCCCATCACCCCATGCACTACTTATCATTAATATGGTTTCTGTCTCTCTGGATTTACCTATTTTTTTTTAAAGATTTATTTATTTATTTATACAAACATTGTGTACAGTCAGAAGAAGAGTGGGAGGGTGAAAGAATTCTCCAGAGCCAGAGTGGGGAACAGAACAGGCAGACCGACGAAATACACTGCTGAGGGGAGCAGCAGGTAGCAGGAGAGGTCTGCGCGCCGTGTGGGACCCTCGCCTGCAGCCAGGGATCGAACCGGTGCTGCAGAGGCTGCGGGCAGCTTTGCAGCCCAGCGCTCAACCGCTGAGCCACCGGGGAGGCCCTGGATTTACCTATTTTGATATATCATATGAAAGTAACCCATGTAGTACATGACCTTGTTTGTCTGGCTTCTTTCACTTAGCATGTTTTTGAGGTTCATTTAAATTGCAAGATGTATCAGTTCTTCATTAGTTTTTACAGCCAAACAATATTCCTACTGTTCATACATATTCAATATGTGAATATATATATATACACAAAAATACATAATATATGTCTTTGTCTATTTATCAAATGATGGGCATTTGGGATGTTGCCATCTTTTGGCTCCTCCTGATACTTTAACATCCCCATTGTCATCATCCTCGTTCAGATTACTATTCCCTCACCTGGGTTATTAGGTATAGTAACATTTTAACTGACTCCACTCATTTCTGTCCACTCATTTCCTACCATATGGCAACTCGAAGGGCATTCCATGCTTTTAGCCCTTTAGGAGTTTTCCAGTGGCTCTAAGAAGTCCAAATCTTTAACTATAAAGCCTAGAGACCCTTTTCTTGTTTACCTTTGTTACTCATTTCCCACCACCCTCTCTGCAATCTAATGACTCCAGCCAGAGGGAACTCAAAACCACCAGGCTTTCTCTTTCTTCAGATCGGGTGTATATATTGTGCCCAATTCCATGTATCTTCCTTTTGTGGGTCTTAATTCCTATTTATCCTCTAGGTCTCATCTCAAATATCATTTAGATGTACAACCTTACGGTACCCTATGTTTCTTTGCAGCACTTTGCATACTCGTATTTATTTTTCCCCCTAGACTGTAAGTTCCACAAAGGCAGGAACTATATATTATGCTCATCACAATTCTTGGTAAATGGTAGACATTGATCATTTGTGTTATAAACTGGGGCATGGGTAGAATTACCAATGGCCTTTAAAATTTTCTGTGCTTTATATCACTGAAGGTCTCAAAATGTGTTAACTAAAAGGGACACACACATACACACAAATCTTAGTTATAACTGCATTGTCAGTACCCTCAATACTCACTCAACCGCCCAAATAGAAGCATTTAGGAAACAAGACAAAGCTTTGAAAATAATGTTGAAATTTAAGTTTCCTTTCAGTTCCATGCTCATGATTAAAAATAACTGATCTTTAAGACCACATAAAATAGGCATACTATAACTGAATGGCTGCCTATCAAAATGTGATCTTCTGACTTCAGTGATTGTTCTTGCCTTTGAAAGGCTCAAAAGAAGTATTTTCTAAAGATATACTTGTAGAGCAAGGAAAATACTCATAACATTAATACCTTTCCAGTCTTTACCATTGTGATATGTAAATATGGCCTTTGTTGTTCAAGATTTCACCTGCTTTCTTTATTCACTTCTCAAAGAACAGATCAATGAATGAGATTATAGTTCCCAATCATGAAATTAATTTTATATACTTGAAAAAAAAAACCTACTTTAATCACCACCTGGGAGAAAAGATAAATAGCCTAAGCCAGGTTTTTTCGGCTATAGGAACTAAAGATTAGAGGAAAACACTAGAAAATGTGATAGAACAAAGCTTCTCATTGAAAATTGCAGTACCACAAATTTATAAAGATAAAAGCACTGCTTTTATTATCATTAGTCCCTTCAAGTTAGGATTGATGCACTGAACTGGTATGGGAAATGATTTAAATATTAAAGGTATGTAAGTACTTTGCATTTGATTACTAAACAGTACATTTTTCACAATTGAGATAAGCTTTCCTTTAGTGCAAAAACAGTCATTTCATCATTTATACAAATAGAAATGTTACTAAAAGTATTTCGAGGTACTGTAAGAAGCAGTTTATGAAAAGAATAGTCATTGGTTATGTGAAAGTGCTGAAATAAAGAAAATGTGGACTCTGATTTAGACTGTATCACTTATTAGCTATATGACATTGAGCAAATTACCTAGCCTGAGTCTGTTTTTTTTTATACATAAAATGGACTTCAAAAATTGAGTTTATGAGAGTATGAACTGTCTAATGATACCAGACATATTTTCTAATTCTAACAGAGACATATGATGTCACAGATAGTTACAGACAAGGTAAAACACTGAGTAGAAGTTTAAATTGTTCCAAAAGAATGGTAACTGAAAAAAATTCTTAATGACTCTAAACTCATCTTTATTTCTGTGGTTAGCTATCTTACCCTATTTATTCAAACTTTTATAAATCACCACCCAATTAAAAAAAAAAGGTGAATAGAAATTTAGGGACTGGGCCTCCCCTGGTGGCACAGCGGTTGAGCGCTGGGCTGCGAAGCTGCCCACAGCCTCTGCAGTGCCAGTTCGATCCCCGGCCTCCAGCGAGGGTCCCACATGGTGCGCAGACCTCTCCTGCCACCTGCTGCTCCCCTCAGCAGTGTATTTCGTCACGCTGCCTGTTCTGTTTCTGGCTCTGGTGAATTCTCTCACCCTCCCCGCTTCTGACTGTAACCTAGTGCTTGTATAAATAAATAAATAAATCTTTAAAAAAAAAAAAAAAAAAGGTGAATAGAAATTTAGGGACTGATTGTGAAAACTGCTGACCCAAACTAAGCTGACCTATCTTCCTGATAATGTCCATGACAGTCAGACACATGCCAAGGAGTTCTCTTCATATTGTATACTTCTCTAAACATACACAGTGTATTGCATGTTACAGAAATTACGTGGTGTCAACAAAACAATGGTGAAATACTACAAACCATTTGGTCTCTTTCTATCTTGAAACTCCATAGTGATTTTACAGCAATTCTCTAAATGGTATTGCTGATAGAAAGCATTTTATTTAATTGCTTACCAAAGGAAGTTACTATAAGAATTCTACAAGACACAACAAATATTTTTTTCAAATCTTGCAAAAATGAAGCTGCAGTTCCGTGAAATTTATCATTCTCCTTCACTGAGAACTTTTCAACACACCTAGCCGCCAAGTTCCTAGTATTCACTTGGAACTGAAGGAATGTCTCAATAATGATCCTTCTCCTGCCACCTCCCAGATAATAAGCAAAACAGAAGCAGTAAATATTAATTTCATTCCATCTCACTCACAAGTTATTTTTTTCTCCAAACTCTTTATTATCCAATCAACACATTTCAAACATACTTTTTAAGACACTTTTTAACTTGTTAAGCACTAAACAGTTTACTTAAAATACCAACATATTCTATTTTTGTAGTCTTTAATACAAAATTAAGGCAATCATGTAACATATTGATAAATTGTAACAAACATCATACTGAAGCTTATTTCTTATTCACATTCTACAAAGATCTAATTCTCAGAATTTAATTTTATTCATTTCCTCAGAGATGTAAAGGCCACAGAAAATGGAAAATGTGCCTTATAACTTCAGTAAATTTGATGAAGCCCAACCACTGCAAAGATCACTGAAACATCTACCAAGTTAGAGGAATGACATTTGTTCCGTTCAAACTGTTATTTTCCTTCCAAAGTCACCAAAACCATTCTTTAATATTCAGCAAAAAATTGTTGGAATTTGTAGGGTTTTGTGTTTCTTTTTTTTTTTTAATGTCAGGGTGGTATGATCTTCTTTGGATGTATGGCTGTTGAAAGCTGAGTTATACAAAAAGAAATCTTTAGAGAACAGAGGTTTTTCTTTACATATTTATTCCCACAGCCTGCCCTTCATCTCATTTTGGTTTTCCACATTGATCCAATTGTAGCACTTCCTGGAGAGCGCGATGTTCTAATCAGCAACATCAGGAAGAAAATGGGACAAAGCAACATGAGAAAACGCAGATCTTCTCATGTCCTGTCTCTTTGAAAACAGTGAATACATTCTAAGCCATCAGGCAATATAAGTCACAATTTAACTTTTAATAATTTTTACCTGTAATGCACATGAACAGGAAATATGGAATGAGCCCTTCATCTATTCAATAGGTGCACAATTTCTGCTGAGATGAATACCATGCAGCAGACTCTTCCTTTGTTCCGTGTCCCATACAGTTGTGCTGACCTTAAAACCTCATTAGCAAGCGATTCAGTAGTGATGCCCGGATAATCTCTACCAAATGGGGAATCAAAGGAGATACAATATCGAGACACTAAATTACCTAACATTACTTCCTGCGAAGAATTTTTTTCCTTATAATTGAAAAGCTATTGAGTTAAAGCTGACTCCCCAAAGATAATGTCTTAACCCCCCCCATCCCCGCCCCCGCCCCAATGAAACGGCTGCAATCCTCTTGGTTTGCCAAAACGAAGAAACCAATCACTGAAGGCGAACTCGGACTGCATTTCAAATCGCCTCTCTGAAAAACGTTAACATTTTATACACAAGCATCGACGGCACGCCATCGCCACTTCTCACTGCAACGGCGGGCCCAAGGCGGCCACAGAGGCTGACAAAGGCCTACTTCCTCTTCTTTTGGGGTTCGGGCGCTCGGGGGAGAGGCGGGCGGGGCATCTTGAAATAGACCTTGACCAAATCATAGATGAACCACTGCAGCGCCGTCAGGGTGCCGATCATGATGATCCGAGCGAACAGCCCCTTCCACACGCCCCAAAACCCCAGCCTGCGAAGCACCCCCAGGGCCGTGCTGCCCTTCTCCTTGTTCAAGACGGACACGACGGAGTCGGCCGGGTGGGACACGATGGCGCAGAAGACGCCGGCGATGTAGCCCGCCACGAAGGTCACGGCGAGCTGCTCGGCCTTGGTGCACTGGCTCTGCGGCTTGGGCACCACGTGCCGGTACAGCGCTTCCACCGTGCGCTCGAAGCAGGCGAACTTCATCATGGTGTAGGGGATCTGCCGCATCCACAGCGGCGCCACGCCCTTGTAGAAGGCCCACAGGCCCTCCTCGCCGTACATCCGGGGCGCCGCGGCGCGCAGCGTGTGCGCGTAGCCGGGCTGCGTCTGGATGCGCACCTTCACCGCCTCCATGGGCGCCAGCGCAATGTCGGCGAAGAACTCGGCGCTGGCCGAGGCGGCCAGGTACAGGCCGGTTCTCCAGTGATAGGCCCTGCTCGGGCCCAGCAGCTCGGCGTAGCGGATCTTGAAGACCTCGTAGAGGCCGAACTTGAAGAAGCCCTGCAGGGAGTAGCCGATCCACGTCGGCGCCCAGCCCCGGGCCAGGCCGCGCACCCCGTCATCCTGCAGCGTCACGCTGAAGCCCCTGAAGAGGCCGCCGTACTTGTGGGGGTCCACCTGCTGGCGGCACTTGACCAGGTCGAGGGGCACGATGAGGGTGTGCGTCAGCCCGCAGCTCAGCATCCCGCCCAGCCCGCACATCAGCAGGTAGCGCTTCGAGCCGTACTCGTAGGTGCGGGCCCTCGCGGAGGCCGCCGCCCAGGCCCGGCCCTGGAGTTGGGCCCCGCTTCTCGGCCGCTGCGTGTGGGAACCGCCGGCGTCGCACATGGCCGCGCTCGGGCTAGGCACCCGCTTCCCCAGCCCCACCTCTGGCCTCCCGAGGGGGCGCGGGGCAGGTGCGCATGCGCTGTGAGCTGCCCGCAGCCCGCCAAAATTAACGGTCCGGGCGGTGACGGAGACGCCCCCTCCCCCAAGCCTTGCCTTGCCCTCACCTCACCCGCCCTCCCGCCTGCAGTTTTGCCACTGCGCCTGCGCAGCGCCTCCTAGTGGTACCTGAGACTTTCAGTAGGGGTGCCGCCCTCACCCCGCCTTCAGGGCTTGAGGCGAGTGGGCTTCTGTAATCAGAGGAACCACCCTTCACCCCTCCTCAGCCCGTAGTCAGGGGTACCTAGATCTCACCTTGGGAGGTGGGTGAGGCTGTCCGTGCCCGAATGGCTTCTGTCCAGCTCAGCCGCCTAGTCCTCTACAATGGTGCTAATAAAGTAAACCAACAAGTACAAACATGAGTAAACACAGGAATAGGCGAATAAATAGATGAGGACGTTGATCAGGGTCCCAAGAGTCTCCATGTACCCTTCCTGAGAGGCCTTTCTGGAGTCCTCACCCAACTGTGCCCGCTTGGGGTACTGGTTATCTCCATGGCAACAGAATGTTTCTGAGAGGGAATGGACAGAAGGGCCCAGTCCTGCGGCTTCCAAGCTTCCATAACATTCTTATCTGGCATGAGGATGACATCTGCCCCCAACACTCACACTGCACTGTTGTTTCCCTCCAAGAGTCGTAGTGAGAGCTTAGGAAGCATGGTGATATTCACTGAATCCAGGGGGAGGGATGCTGATTATTTGCATGCATTTGGTATTTTTTCATTGACTTCAAATCCTTGGCATGACTATGAAAATGAGTCAGAAATCCTCTCTCCCCTTAGGGATCTTGCACTCTCTTTGACCTGGGAAATGAGAACCAAGTAAACCCAAGTGAAAATCAGTAGCATACATTAATTCGTTCACATACTGTGTGCCGCACCCCCGTGCAGGGTTCAAAGAGGGTTAGCAAAGAACCAGATATATTCCTGATTACTTCTAAACAAGGAGATTTTAAAATCAGCATTGTGTATGAAGTATCATAATAGGAATTTGAAAAAGTTCTGGATGCACAATGAGGGGGCCATTAATTCTGCTTGTAGAGGTTAAGAGGACTTCCCAGAGGTGATGACAATTTAGCTAGGTCTTGAAGGATAAGTAGGGGTCTGGCATGTAGAGAAGAATGGAAAGGTAATTCCAGGTTAAGAGAAGCATGAGTGCAGGACCTATTGAGGAGAGGAGAGGAATTCAATGGGTGGAAACTACTGAGGGTTGAGCCTAATCTTCCCACAAAGTCAGATGTATACTTTCATGTTCTTTTAAATAAGAGAACCTCTATATCCAATATTCACTTAGAGAGAAGAAAGTGAACATGTATTCATCCATTCATTCAACAGACTTAAGATCTTATTCTATCCAGGCACATTCTGAATTAAAAAGTAGAACTATTGTAATATCCTACATTGTTCCCAAACAGAATTTTCATAAACTCTAATGAAATGAAAGCACAGAGTGCTAAGATAAAACAATAGCAAACAGTTATTGAGTGGCCATTAAAAAGCCTCTAATCCTTACACCTGTGTGAGATACCCTTCCCATTTTATAGATACTGTCTACTGAAAAGACAATTGATAGTCATTTTTGCTATCAGAACCTCTTTGTTCAGGTGTCTCGCAAGATATTTGCTTACCTCCTTCTCATGACATTTTAATAATATTTGCTTACTTCCTTCTCATGACATTTTTTAAATTAATTTATTTATACAAGCACTGGGTACAGTCAGATGCACGGGAGGGTGAGAAAATTCACCAGAGCCAGAGCAGGCAGACTGATGAAGTACACTAATGAGGGGAGCAGCAGGCGGCAGGAGAGGTCTGCGCGCCATGTGGGACCCTCCTCCGGTGGCCAGGGAGCAGCTGGGGGTCGAACCGGCGCCGCAGAGGCTTCGGGCAGCTTCACAACCCAGCGCTCAACCGCTGCGCCACCGGGGAGGTCCCCCTTCTCATGACATTTTAATGTTTATGCAGGGTAGTTGATTTTCAGCCATAAATACTTAGGCCCATTAATAGCTTCTCCATTCTGATTACACAGACATGTATGTACGAGATGTCCTTATCCATTTGTCCATGCCTTCTACTTTGCCAGTACCTGTTATTGTATAGAGTCAGGTGCAAAGTATATCAGAAAACTTTATTAACCCACCTCTCTTGTGTTTTCTTGTAATTGCAGTGTTTAAGTAATTTGCCTGACATTCTTTTTAATTTCATCTCGGTTAGTAAATTGCCATTTTTATTTTTATTTAAAAAGATTTATTTATATATGCATACAAGAACTGGGGTACAGGCCAGAGACGTGGGGGGTGAGAGGACTGACCAAAGACAGAGCAGGGGAACAGAACAGGCAGATGTACTGAAATACACTGCTGAGGGGAGCTGCTGGCAAGACAGGAGAGGTCCGTTGTGCCATGGGGGTAGCTCCCTGGCAGGCCAGGGGTCGAACTCATGTTGCAGAGGCTGTGGATAACCTCATAGTGCTGTGCTTAACCCCTTGCACCATCAGGGAGGCCCGATAAATTGCCATTTAAAAAAAAATTGCAGAGCAGATACTTCAAATGAAATTGTAAAGACACTGCTTACATCATGTATAATCTTGTGATTTAGTATTCTATCCAGCCTTAGTGAGTACTGATCAACTCAACCAGTGCGAGTGAACTGGAGTAGTTGCTTGAATTGCTCTCTCAGCTTTGACATGTATAGTGAACTTATGCAGGGAACTTCATCCACCATCTTGCATCTCTATATCTAACATTAGAGTTTGGGTAATTTTATTTTTATGTTTTGTCTGTTATCTTACTTTTTAACTATTATGTATATACATGTTATATGCTTCGTATATGTCATATATACTTAAATATTACATATTGATATTATCTGCATTTTTGATATGTTATTTTAAAAGCATATGAGGGAGGGCCTCCCTGGTGGTGCAAGGGATTGGGCACTGCACTGTGAAGCAGTCCGCGGCCTGTGCAGCACAAGTTCGATCCCCAGCCGGCCAGGGAACAGCCCACATGGCGCAGCAGACCTCTCCTGACTCGCCCGCTGCTCCCCTCAGCAGTGTATTTCGTTGGTCTGCCTGTTCTCTTCCCCCTCTGTCTCTGGTGAATCCTCTCTCTCTCTCTCTCATACACACACACACACACACACACACACACATGCATTTCTGATCTGTACCCCAGCTCTTGTGTGCATAAATAAATAAATCTTTTAAAAAAAGAGCACATGAGGGATACTGAAATTAATAATTTTAAATTCTTAGGAACTTAATGGGAAGAAAAACTCAATATCAAGCACTACTATGTGTCAGACACTGTGATATAGTGGGAAAAGTCCCACAACTTTGGGCAGAAATAAATTCCGAGTTCATTTTTTTTCTAGCTGTGTGACATTAGACAAGTTATTTGGCTTCTTTTTGCACTTAATTTACTTTCAAAAATATGTATTTAAGGCTAGTTGTAACTCTCTTTTAGAGTTGTTACAAGAAAAAAATAGTGTGCACAAAAACCTAGCCCAGCACCCTGTGCATTAATAGCCATCCCATGAATGTCAATTCTGTTACTCATCCCACTTCTCTGGCTCTTCCTAATCTCAACAGAACCCATGTTTCTGAACTCTGCTCTTTCTTCTGCACTTGAATGGGTGATTTATTCATTAACTAAATTTCAACTGACTTTGATGATTCAGCGTAGGAACTGAAAAAACTATACATGGCAGAAATGTGAACTTTTTTTGACAGTGCCTCAGGGTATCTCACAGTGTTAGACAAGTAGGACAGAGATTGCTCATGTGTGCTGCAGCAGCCTGGGCCATAGAGAAGAAGAGGACGGACAACTGGGCAGGTCTCCGCCTTTTCCAAACTGACCCTTCCAGCCTTGTGCTTTATTCAAAACTGAACTCCAGCTAGGGCAACCAACTTGTCCTGGTTTGCCCCAGACCTTTCTGGTTGTAGTGCTGAAGGTCCAGTGTCGCAGACCCTCTCGGTCCCAGGCAAATCAGCACAGTTGGTCACAATACTTTTAGCAGTCTGAGCTGTGCCAATGGCCTCCAGTCACTTCCCCGTGTAAGAATCCCTGGCTTTGGAACCAGGTATACGAGGCGACCTAGGCTGTTCCATTTTTAGCTATGAATCTTGCTAAGGTTTATCTAACTTTCTTGAAACTCAGTCTCTTTATTTATATATTTCATCCCATTCTTTTCCAGAATTTATAATGAACTTCGTATTATTATTAAGTGATAGCACAATGCTTACAATGTTGAAGTCCCTTAATGATGTTCATTATTTCCTTCCTTACTTCCTTATATCTAAGAGTTTCATTAGACCCTGAGGTATCATATCTCTCAATATCCGTGACACTGAAGTTTTAAGGGAGGTAGACCTCGAGCAGCAGGGGGCACTGTTGCTACTATTCCCCAGTTGCTGCGTACTTCTCAGCATGCCCCCATCTTAGCACCAAAGCAATAAACTGTGTTAAATGACTGAACAAAGATGGCCAAACTCTAAAACTACACTTGGTTTTAACTTCTCTAAATGTGTCCCTCGAGTCTGCAATAATGTTTAGGGTATATCTGGACCATTTTAAATCTTGTACATTTAATTTATAATCCTTCTTACTAGAGGAGTTTTATGGTGCATGGGGTTGGGGGTGGGAGGGTGTCAAATGTTTATTCTTAGAATTATTTAACCTCAATCAACTAATTGTTCTGATGAATTGTATACTTTTTTCTTTTCGCTTGACCAGAATGGAAACAACGACAGGCATTCAACTAAGATTTATTTGTAAAACTCTGACAGATTGGGAATTACAGAGTTCCTTAAACTGTCTCTTAAAATAAATATTTTTGATTTATCTGGCAAGTTAAAGGGGAAAAATCAACAATCCCCCAACCTCATTAAACTAAGTAAGTCTAGCCATGTTTAAAGAAAATGTTGTGGGAGGTATAATCTCTATATGCTCAGATGAAAACTGGTCAGAGCAAGTCTTCATGCCTTTCTTTGTTTAAGGAACTATTTGTGCAAAGCAGCATTAGTGCTTTTAGAGGTAATAATTATTTACCTGGGGTGAGTTCTGGGGGAGAAGGACATAAATCAAATAATTTCTTATTAAATATCCAGAGTTCTTAACAACATTAAATGTCCAAAGGTCTCCATTTTTCAAGCAGCATGTAAATAATGGACCCCTGCCTCTGGTTGGGATCTCATGGGTATGGATCACAGGAATGGTGTAACCTTCGTATATAATGGCTCCCTTTTCTCTTTTCTATTTTACACGACATTTTCCTGGAAATGTATGCCAGGCAAGATAAATATGAAAATATTCCTATAAAAATATATTCAAACATCAATATATTCAAACATCCAAATGCAAACTAGAGTTTTATTAGATACTTTTAACTGGCTTATTCTAGTGGTCAGGTAAATTTTCCCAATTCTAAAGCATGAGACCAGTGGTTTGTTTTTATAACTGAAGTAAAACTGATGAGAGTTTTTTATTCCATTGGAAAGGCCTTACATGACAAAGAATAGATTCAAGTAAGTGAAGGTATCTAAGCAACATAAGGAGGGGCTGTATGAGAGTGGTGCGCTCCCCAAGAAGATGGTGTGCCAGCTTGAATGTGAGCTGTTGTGAAAACGTGGTCTTCGCAAGTGGAAGGAGAATGGACTGAGTAGACAAATCTCTTATTCAGTGCTATCCAACAGAATTATAACGTGGGAGACATAGATGTAATTTAAAATTTTCTGATAGTAAAAAAAAGTAATATAGGGTCTCCCCTGGGGGCACAGCAGTTGAGCGCTGGGTTGTGAGGCTGCCTGCAGCCTCTGCAGCGCCAGTTTGATCCCCGGCCACAGGCAAGGGTCCCACCCAAAAAAAAAAAAAAGTAATATATTAAAAATAACATTAACTCAATATATCATTACTTCATTATATAATCTATATAAAGTTATTAAAGAGGTATTAACATCATTTAAAAAACATTATGTCTTCGCTATCTGATGTCTACTTTGTATTTCCAGCACATCTCAATTTGAATTTACCTTACTTTAAGTCCTAAATAGCCACATGGGGGCATGGACATGGTATTGGACAGCTTGGGTTTAATCTATGCTTGAAGAGCCTAAAGCCATGCGAAAGATTGTGCCGCTGAATCAAATCTTCAATTGGAAGTGGCCTTGAATAAGTAAGTCTGAGATACTACTTTCTCCTTATTCCCCATTCCCTTGCTCCTCCTCCTCGATATCAAGCAATGCATGCTAATCCTACAAATAGACAGCAGTCACTGTGTTGTGTATCCTAAATGCATGCTTTCATTAATCCTACAAGAATCAGAGACCTTACTTTGTAGTTAAATAACTACAGAATGACAATATAGTATAGTATTTAAGAGTACATATTTGCAGACTCTTCATACATATTTTTGCCACTTCCTGTACACCCTAGATCAGAAATTTCATAACTTTTCTAAGCTTCAGTTTTACCATTTGTCAAATGGTCACAATGAAAATACCTCCCTTATAGATGGTGTTCTATGGTTTAAATGATATCATGCCTGCAAAGCTGTAAACATTCATTAAATATGAATCTTTAAATGGGATAAATGTAGGGACCCTTCAGAATTTACAGCACATTATACAAACGGTATTACTACTGCGGCTCAATAAGTGACGTGACTTAACCAAGGTAACACAACTGATAAGTAATGATCAGGCGCTCACACAGCCTGCCTGTCTCTAGAGCAGTATTTCCCGCCATGTTACAGTTACAACATGGACTGAATTTATACTGACTCAGTGACAAAATAAAAAGGTCTCTTAAAAGATATATTCTTGATATCTTTTTGCCATTCTAATAGAAGCAAAATGCAGAGGAAAATTCTGCTTTTTTTTTTTTTAAATACAAATTTACTATTCTGGGAAATAGACAAGGAACACACAGAGGAAAAGGAAGGGTATATTGAGTATTCTTTGCTCCTCTGTTCTTCTTGACTGTTTTTACTAGGGGACAGAGACCTGCGTATATTGGCAGTAAATTCCTGTTTGTTATTTTATTTTATTTATTTATTTATTTATTTTAAATAGAGGCATGTTTTATTTATTTATTTGTTTGTTTGTTTGTTTGTTTTCGTTTTATACATGCACTGGGTACAGTCAGAAGCGCGGGAGGGCGAGAGAATTCACCAGAGCCAGAACGGGGAGCAGAGCAGGCAGAAGGACCGAAGTACACTGCTGAGGGGAGCAGCGGGCGGCAGGAGCGGTCTGCGTGCCATGTGGGACCCTCCTCCGGTGGCCGGGGAGCAGCCGGGGATCGAACCGGCGCCGCAGAGGCCGCGGGCAGCCTCGCAACCCAGCGCTCAACCGCTGCGCCACCGGGGAGGCCCTCCTGTTTGTTATTTTAAACCAAATTTGATTTCACCAACTGACAGATATATTAAAGGCTATTATCCCCTATTAACAATGTATTTATAGGGACATGTGTCTCATTTTTTAAGGGAAAAAATCCTTGATATTCATGGACATTTGATAGTACTGTCAAAAGAACATGTAGTCAGTTGTAAATACTGTCAAATTTTCTGTGTGTCAAAACTTTTTTCGTCAAATGAGCAAATGAAAACAGGACAAACAAAAGTCAGTGCTATTGCATCTAACTCCACTAACAATGCCACTTTGAATGTGCCCTCTCCGGCCTGATGGTGTGCTTTCAGTTGCTCCACGGAATTGTTTATTCCTGTACAACCTCTTCAGTGGCTGTGTGATTGCATCTTACTCTTCTTTCCTCTCACCCCATTGTCTTCCATTCCTGCTGCTTTGTGCTTGGCCTCCACAGGAGTCTTAGGATCAGATGATTCAGTCAACAGGGGGCCAGGGTTGGGAGGAACAACTCTGCCTAGCACTGTTCAGGACCATGGCTATGCTCAAGTGTGTGGCTCTGGAAAGCCACCCCAAAGAACACCCCACTCAACTCCATTTTAATCTTGAAATACCTCTGCGAGTCCTAATTTATTATTGTTCCACTATCTGTAAAAAACAGCAAACCACCATGAGCAGGTACTAGAGGTCTGGATATGTGAGTTCTAGTTTGGCCTGGCCACCTGCCATGTTATTGCTCTCCTTGGCCATATGTGGCTGACTCCCATAAATTCTCCCCAGGACACCTGTGTGACCTGACTGCTGTTTAATCTCTAATCCTCTAATCTCTAATCCTTTCTCAGCAGTCTCCTGACTGCACTGTACTATAGCCACTCTGTGGGCCTCAGACATGCTGTTCCCTCTGCTCGGAACACACCTCTCCTGCTTCTGTATCTGGCTAATACAGAAGCTTCTGCCTCAGCTTAGAAATCAGCCCTTCAAGGAAGTCTTCCTTGATTTCTCCAGTCAGGTTAGGACCTTCCTATGAGCTCACATAGCATCCTGACTCTCCCCAACTTCCCAGCTTTCATCTGGAAGTATTTGTTTACTGTCTGTACTGCCAGTTAGGATGTATGGCTAAAGGCAAGGACCCTGTCTGTATTTACTACTGTGTCCCTTATGCTTAGCACATAGTTGGCTCTCAATAAATATCAGCTCTGGAAAGCAACTAAACAGGGAATCCTAGGAAGTTTCCCTAGGTTGCTACCACCTTCACCCCATTTGTGTCAATTGTAATAGAGTAATAAGTAATGTAGTAAGACAAACACTTCTACTTATTACCAAAGTTTCCTTGAAAGAGTCTGAGAGTACTGTGTTTGCTTAGAAGAAATACTGAGATATCATATATGTGGTTAAGAACATGGAATTTGAGGGGCCTCCCCGGTGGCGTAGCGGTTGAGCGCTGGGTTGCAAAGCTGCCCGCAGCCTCTGCAGCACTGGTTCCATCCCTGGCTGCTCCCCGGCCACCGGAGGAGGGTCCCACATGGCGCGCAGACCTCTCCTGCCACCCACTGCTCCCCTCAGCAGTGTACTTGGGTCCTTCTGCCTGCTCTGCTCCCCGCTCTGGCTCTGGTGAATGCTCTCGCCCTCCCGCGCTTCTGACTGTACCCAGTGCTTGTATAAATAAATAAATAAATCTTTAAAAAAAAAACAAAACAAAACAAAAAAACATGGAATTTGAGGATAGATTTCCTGGTTTTGAATCATGGCTGTGTCTCTTTTTTTTTTTTTTATAGAGGCATGCTTTATTTATTTGTTTGCTGGTTTGTTTGTTTGTTTTGTTTATACATGCACTGGGTACAGTCAGAAGTGCGGGAGGGCGAGAGAATTCACCAGAGCCAGAGCGGGGAGCAGAGCAGGCAGAAGGACCCAAGTACACTGCTGAGGGGAGCAGCGGGCGGCAGGAGAGGTCTGTGCGCCATGTGGGACCCTCCTCTGGTGGCCGGGGAGCAGCCGGGGATCGAACCAGCGCCGCAGAGGCCGCGCGCAGCTTCGCAACCCAGCGCTCAACCGCTGCGCCACCGGGGAGGCCCTCATGGCTGTGTCTCTTGATTGTAAATCTTTGGGTGAGCTACTTCACTTCACTCCTCAGCTTCTTCATGTATAAAATGGAGGTAAAAATTGCAGTCCTTACTTTACAACATTTTCGTGAGGATTATATGAATTAATATACACAAAGGACTTAGGAATTATGATGCATATAAACACTTAGTAAATAAAAGTGTGCTAGTGATTATTGTTACTATTATTCAGCCATTAGGGTATGGGATGAACTCAAGGAAACAAGTTGGTCCCCAAATTCTCCTTGTCAGAAGAATGGGCCTGTTTACTGTCGGTTTTATTTTGCTGAGCACTTGTATGATGTTTGGGGAAAGTTGCTTAAGTCAAGTTAATTTACTATGCCAGTTAGGCAGGAAAGAACTTTGGCATTGGCAGGATTCATTTGTACATTCAACAAATATTTACTGAATGTCTATTTTGTGCTGGATATAAAGGGAAATGAGATTGCTACAGCTCTTACAGAGCTCTCAAAAAATCAAGAAAGGAGACAGAAGCTATAAAGGCCGGGTAATGGTGGGGAGAGGAAAGACAGACTAGTTTCCCTTCAGTGGATGTGGCACAGCAAAGGAGGCTCTGGAGACAACAGAAATGCTAAGGCAGGATTTTAAGACTCTGCTATAGAATGTGTCGTGTAAATCCTCCCTTCCATCCCCTACAAAATCTTCAATAAACTTCTCATTGCTCACTAGAGAGAGCCTGAAGAAGGGGAAGATAGCAGATATCTGGGTTATAGCTGCTGGGGGAAAGATACTATAGGCAAAAAAGCCTCTCCTTACTCTTGTGCGCTGCCAGTAAGGAAACATCACAGAGCAGGCAATATTGAATGATTATAAATGATGTCCCCCTTTGCACTCTTCTTTAAAATGCGTATAAATTAAACAGTACCAACAACAATCCTATTAACCAAAGAGAAGAAGCATTATTCAAGGTAAGAAACTTGGGATTAAAGGGGAAAGGGGCCATAACTGAAGCTGGGAGTAATGACCACCAACCAGCCCCTTTGTAGTTAATTAAGGATTCCTCAGCAACAATAACTCATTATTTTATAAACCATTGCTTAGGATGATGCAGACTTTCTTCCTGAGGTTTGGGTGTGGAAAAGGAAGGTGGTCATTGTGCTTACTTACAGTGACTTACTGTATCCATCCTTTTTTTTTTTTTTTTTTAAGATTTATTTATTTGTGCATACAAGAGCTGGGGTACAGGCCAGAGATGCAGTGTGTGTGTGTGTGTGTGTGTGTGAAAGAGGATTCATCAGAGACAGAGCAGGGAACAAAACAGGCAGACTGACTGAAATACACTGCTGAGGGGAGCAGTGGGCGAGACAGGAGAGGTCTGCCTCACCATGTGGGTTGCTCCCTGGCCCGCCAGGGATCAGGGATCGAACTGCAGAGGCTGCAGATTGCTTCATAGTGTGGTGCTTAACCCTTTGCACCACCAGGGAGGCCCCCCATCCTTTTTTTTTTTTTATTCCAGTTCTTCTTTTTACACCATGTTAGCATTTTTTAAAATAACAATTTAAAGAAATGTATGTATGTGTGTTTTAAAGCTGCAGCCTAGAGCCTCCCCAGTGGCACAGCGGTTGAGCCCTGGGTTGCGAAGCTGCCCGCAGCCTCTGCAGCGCCGGTTCAATCCCCGGCCACCAGGCGAGGGTCCCACATTGGCGTGCAGACCTCTTCTGCCGCCCTCTGCTCCCCTCAGCAGTGTACTTTGTCAGTCTGCCTGTTCTGCTCTCTGCTCTGACTCTGGTGAATTCTCTCACCCTCCCGTGCTTCTGACTGTACCCAGTGCTTGTATAAATAAATAAATAAATCTTAAAAAAAAAAAAATCCGCAGCCTAGCAAGTAATCAGTCATCAACCTAAATAAAACAAACCTATCAATTTGCCCGAATTTCCAAGAGTGAAATAAATAAAGCTCTGCTGGAATTTACCTACACAAATTGAGACTTTGGTAGGAAAGAGAGAAATAAACTAGTCTTTTTTTTTTTTTTTTTAGATTTGTTTACAGTATAAACCGTGGGGTTTCTGCATCTTATGACTACTGATTAAAAAGATATATGGTTGTTTACTAAGGTTCTCAAAGCACTATGCAAATTCACATCACCTTGGGTATAGTTTGCCCTTAAAGCTATAAAGTAAATATGGAAGCATTTTGTTAATAAGGCTAAAATATGTTAATTTAAATAGTTGGCTTTGAATAGAATTTTCCTTTAAATCATTAATAGGAAAATGAAGAGAGCCTGGGTGGTCAAGCATGAAATGTAAATGAGAGTAGTTTTCTTCTTTAGGCCTTATCATCTGATGTCACCTGACGTTAAAATTTAAATCTGATGGCCTTATAGTTTGCAATATCATGAAACAATGCAGCTTATGCCCCAGATTTTTTTTTGACGGCAGTATTGAAACTCTGATTTTTAAGTACCATTTTCAAATGACAAAGTCAGAGAAAAAAAGATATGTGAACTGAGTGGAGACAGAAAAGGAGCTTGCCTGTCCCTTTATGTATAGGACCGTATTTTTTTTAAATCAGAAATTAAGATAGAGGGTGTTAGAGCAGAGACAAACCTAGCTAACAGTGAAATACAAAGTGAACAATGAAATTCCTTAAGGACTAATGCAGGAAGCGTAGTTTTGTCTTATTAATATGAGGAATATTTTTTTCTTCCAAGCAGAAAAAGGCTTTAGGAACCTCTTTTCGGCTTTCCAGTTTCTAGTCAGCTCAAAATGGCGACCATTTCCTATTCTCAAGCAGCTGGTGAGAACGGCAAAGCACAGCTGCACGGGGAACCTCAGGAAAATCAAAGCGGACACCAGGCCTTGCTTCCACCGTCCTGCCACCAGGACAGAATTGCAGAGAAAGGGGAATTTAAAATGCACACGGGTTAGCCAGGTACTAAAGATAACTACATCCTTAAATATTACTGATTCCATGATTATAAGCTTTTCAACTTAGTTTCCCTTTTTTTTTTTTTTTTTTTTTTTTGGACCCAAAAAGAAAGACTTTTGGGTGTTACAAATTTGTATCAAACAAGAAAATGGATTATTTTGGCTGCTTTATAGGGATAACAAAATTCATGAAGGTTAAGCAACCATTCAAGCTCATGCTGTTTCACTTTAAAGCATTCTAAGTATGCTTTACTTGGAAGTCAACAACAGCAACACGCCGTCTTCCAGAACTGCATTCCTATACCAACAAGATTCTTACGCATAGGAATTACTATAAAGGCGCACCCATGGTGAAGATCACACTGCACTGAGCTCTGGAGAATATTCTGGAAGCATCACTGAATGGCATCCTCTCTGTCGGGAGAGAAATGAAATTCAGCAGACGCAGCAGTTTTTGGAAGGAGAAACGGCTTAACTCTTAGAATGTTTTTTGCTGGAGTGGGTTTATTGAGAGCTGCGTCCTCTGGAGCTTTTTAAATCTGTGGACCGTTGAATATCATGCCGCCTTTTTTTTTTTTTTTTTGAAGTTACAAAATACTCTGTGGGGTGACAGGCATGGAAAGTTTGGAAAATTAAATGCTTAAAACTTCAGATAATCCAGATGACATACATGCAATAGTATTCCATGAAGAATTTATCCAACCCAATCCCTTGCATCTCATTAGCCAAAGCACAGACTCCAAATTTTGCACCCCCAAAAAGAAGGTAAAATGCAAGGGTCTTACAGCAGCTCCTGGACGTGCTGAGAGCCGCTTTGTTACAAGTGTATCCAATGTCCCCAGCACCAGAGACTTGTGGGGCACTGCTCATTTCTGCTCCATTCGCTCTGCAGCTCCCAGCGGTGGTGGTTGTGTTGTGAAGGCAGACCCCGCCAAGCTGGCCGACAAGACGCTGCGCACCCCCAAATGCTCGCGGTGCCGGAACCATGGCTTCCTGGTGCCGGTCAAGGGCCATGCGGGCAAGTGCCGATGGAAGCAGTGCACCTGCGAGAAGTGCTACCTGATCACGGAGCGCCAGAAGATCATGGCTGCGCAGAAGGTGCTCAAGAAGCAGGCCTCCGAGGAGGAGCAGGAGGAAGCCGTGAGCGCCCATGGGTCCGAGCTGGCCCCCGGGGCTGCGGCTGCTGCCCCAGGCGCAAGCCTTCGCCCGCTGCCTCTGCTTGCCGCCTCGGGGGACGTGGAGCTGGGCCGCGACAGCCGCGTGGTCCCCGGCTTTCCTGAGAGGCCCCCGCGTGGCCCAAGCCCTGGCCCGAGCGCCTTCCAGCCAGTTCTGGGTGTCCACGGCCACGTGGGGCTGAGCAGCCGCCCCGCGCCGGCCGTGCCCAGGCCTGTGGGGCCCTTGCTCGGGGCCGAGGCCGCCGGCAGGGGAAGCCCCGGCCGCCTGGAGCTGCGCAGGCCGCTGCGGCCCGTGCCTAGCCCGCCGTTTGCTGACTTCGGTAAGACCCCTAGGCCCTGCGCGGCCTCGCCCCACGCTGGCTTCTCTCCCGGCCACGGCCTCCCCGCGACCCACGTGGCGGGCCAGGCCAGCAGGGCCCCGCGGGCTTGCGCTTGGGGGTGGGGGATGGGGAATGCTTTCCAGGGGTCCCCTTGCGTACGGGTTTGGGTTCGCCTAACAGGTAAAAAGAGAAGGAATAGGATGACCAGATGGTTTTTTTTAATATTTAGCTACAGCTTTTGCCTTTTCGTACTGCAATAGAAAGATGGCCCCCAGGTGGCTCAGGCTGCGGCCCCTCCCCCCGCACGCTCCTGGGAGCTGGTCCTTACTGCGCCTGTGCGCCTCTTCCCGCCCGTTCCTCGGGCTGGAGCTCCTCCCCCAGGACGCCCGCCCAACCGGGACTGCGCCTGCGCACCCTTGCTCCCTGCGGTTTGGAGGCCCTTTCTCCAGCCATGTGCTGACCGAATGCGCCTGCGCACTGGGGCCTTTCTCTGGACGGTTGGGGGCTGAGATAGCGGACTTGCTCATCCCTGGAGACCCGTCAAATTGGTCCGTCAATTTGTGGTTACCTCTTTTTGTGGTTACCTCTGTTTTTCTTTTAAATGCCCATCCTGCCATGTGCATAAATTACATTGTTCCTTATGGCTTGCTGCTTTCACTATTAAAGCACAATTTCACGTATAGATTTGAGGCTTAAAAATGGCTTTTATGGGGTGCAGACAAGCGTTTCCCTATGGCAGTGTGGGAGAAAGAGCACCAGTCTGAGTCAGGAGGTGGGGGCTGCTCATTCTAATCTGAGGCAAGCTCCCTTTTTGCCGTCTATCCCCTCTGTACTAAATGGTTTGGCCTAGATGTTTGCTGAACAGCAAACCTAGGAGAAGGATATCTTTCCATAGACACGATGCCTTTTTTTGCCCCAGTGAACTGGAGCTGAACATTTATGATGTGTCAAACACAGCCATCCCCTGTGACTGGGGGTGGGGTCATATTCCTTGCCCTCAGGGTCTTGTCCTTGTGGGAGGGATAGCATTGGTCAAAGACTCACACGACCGAATATCCAGAGCTCTTAACAATTGATGGTTTAGGTGTAGTGTGAAGAAAGAGCAGAAGCTGAGTACTGAGGACTCCAGAAGACAAAATGGGGTTAGAGGAGGAAGCCTTCCAAGCCCAGGGAAGGATATCTGTAAAGTCTTTAAGATGAATGACAAAGAAGCAGCTGCTAGATATAGTATGAGGAGGCTATAGTGGAGGCTGGAACTAGTCACAGGGGCTTTGTGGCTGTATCCAGGACTTCTAAGAGCAGTGGGACATGGTTGAAGATTTACAGGGCAGGAAAGGTTAAAAGAGTAATGAATGTGGAAGTTCTTTGTAAATGGATATATTTATTATATTTCTACCTTTAGACAGTAATGCGATGCTCATTAACACCTCCTTCTTTGCTGGTCTTCTCAGGGCTTTCTCTGAGCATCAATTCAGAGTGTGTGGTGGGCTCTGAGTTCCTGGAGAGAGAGCCTTCCAAGCTGTACCCCAGCTGCTCCAGTATGCATTCCTACCGCCCGTTCCCTCTGGGCTACCAGGATGCATCCTCGACCTCGGGGGTCCCTCTGCAACGTGGCTTCCGGCATGTGTCTTATAGCCATTACCATGGAGGAAGCTTGGTGAGTCCCATCCCTGATTTCTTTCCCTGTTCTTCCTTGTCCCAGCTGCCATTTCTGCCTTTAAGGATCATCAATACCAGGAAACCAAGTGGCAGCTCTGCTCTGTGCCATGTCCCTAAGGGGCTGATAAGAGGGACAGCGCATTCATCCTGCACAGTGTGCACCTCTGGGAGGGCACACATGTGGCCAGGACCATACCACTCTGCCTGGGCTGTGGCATGTGCTTTTCAGAGCTGTGGCCTAAAAGTCTCCGGGGAGTCCGGTTAGACAGAATACAGACACATGTCAGGTAAGCCTGGGGAGCAGCCACACGGTAACACCAAGCCATCACCATCAGCCTTGACTCCTGGCATGGACTCCTGCTGGATACCAGAAAGGGAATTTTACTTTCCTGGAGCCATGCAGTTGAGGGCAGAGCTAGGAGCAAGCATAGGTCTCCTGCCACAGGTATGGCCCATCTCTCTATTTTGGGTGTTGTAAGCTATTTATATATATATTCATATACATGTAAATTATCTTCCACTGCATTAACAGGAAAATGCTTAAAAAGCACTGATCTTGGTAATTTCCCAGGTGCCTAATATGGACCTTTAAGATCCAAGTTTTTACCCCGTTGAGGAGTTGAGGCAGAAGGCTGAGAGAAGATATTCACCCAAGGTCATAGAACTGGAGTGTGAGGGACTCAGGTGCAAGTCACACCGCTGGTCAGCGACTAGCCGGCATGTATACCTCACTCGCCTTGTCTCTAGAGCTCAGGCACTTTCTGTTACCCTAAGTTTTCTCTCAGAGGCACAGCAGTCATGGCCCTAAACCCGACCCAGTCCCAAATCAGGGGCACCGGACACCCCGTGGCAGCCCAGAGAGAGCGAAAGCATTTCCAGCCTCCACACAAAGAGAGGTTCTGGCCAAGTGGAGCACCCACCCACCGTCTGCTCACAGAAGCCTGGCGTCCAGGGCAGGCCACTGATTGACAGGCTTGCCAGACGGCCTTTGTTAAGAGTGTGATCTCAGTTGGTTTATCTGGGCCTGAGCTGCCACCACAGGCCCCAGGCAGGAACTGTGATTCAGGGAGAGACTTGGCTGAGCAGCTTGGAATTAAAACACTAATAATCCCCCTCCGACCCCCTTCATGTCTGGTTAGAGGATCAGGCAATATTTGTGAAGCTGTTTCAAACCCAAGAGCCTATGAATTGCTTTCACACTGTCCTGCTGCCCTCTGCCCTCTGGTGCCTCTGCCATACCTGCTGCTGTTTTGCTTCCTCTGTTCTCTTCCCACAGAAGAGCACAAACCTGGAGTTAGATCAAGGGTCCATCCTCCCTCCAATATTTCCTAGCCGTGTACCTCACCTCTGAGGACCTCACTCATGTTCTCAGTCTGTGCAGTGGGATCCCTGTGCCTACCCCATAGACCCTTGATAGACTGAATAAGGTATAGTGGCAGGTAAAATGCCTGACACAGGGTCTGGCATGTAGTGGGCTCTTGAAAGTGGGCTTTTCTTTTCTTCCTTGTGGTTAAAGTGAGTTCTGAAATCTGTAAGGAGATTGTTTTCTAGACGGCCTTGAGGCTTTAATACTCTTCATGGGTGACTCACCGGAGTAGGGGCACTATATGGAGTTTCTCAAACTCCCTTGACAAAGAATACTTCTAAGAGCACTTAAAAATATCTCAGTAGGGAGCTGGAGTTCTCCAGAACACAACTTGTAAAGTGCTGCTCTGAAGTGTTGTATGAGAAATAAATAGTAGGAATTACATCTGAAACTCATTTTTATTTTCTATTACATTCAGTCTTTCTCAGTTAAGCTCTGAGCTCATCCCGCTTCCAGATCCCCTCATTTCAGCCGTGGGGGCCTGTGACACAGTGTTCGTTTCCCTCTCCTAAAGAAGGAGCAGAAACAGACGGGTTGATTGCTGATGCCACCAGCTCCCCTGGCCCAGTCACTGCTGCATCACACCCAGGTTGCTGACTTCTGTGCAGTTAGAACAGGGTCCCCAAAGGGCCCCAATCCTTGAGTCTGAGTCATGACATGTGCCAGAAAACGGGACCACAGGTGCTTAGGATGCGCCAGAATCCTCCCCTAGCCGGAGTAGTGGGGCAGGACAGACTGGGGATCCAGGTCTGCGTCAGCAGCCCAACAGCCCTGTGGCCTGGGCCCATGGCTTCCTCTCTAGGACACTTCATCATTAGATCAAAGGGAGTAACAGTCTCCCTCTGGGGGTAGAGAGGGTATGTGCAGGACCGTAGTGGCTGCGCCCAACCAAGGCTTTGCAGAGGGACCAGTGCCGCCCGCCCCAGTCACCCGGCGGGGGTGTGCTGGAGACTCCATTCCCCCCACGCCCGTGGGGCCAGAGGGAGCCCCTTGTGTGGGAAGGAGACACAGTAACCCTTCCCCGTGTGCCCTGCAGGTGTCAGAGCCAGCGGGGGATTTTCCACCGAGCTACTACCCGCCCCCCCAGACTCCCCCCCAACTCCTGCCCCCAGGCTTCCTTGCTGCGCTCCACCTCCTGCCACCGCCACCGCCGCCCCCTCCACCGGCCGCCTTCTCGCTGACCCTCCTGGCGGACACGGACAGGGAGACCGCTGGTGAGTGGGTGCTGGCCCAGCTAGGGAGAGCCAGGGGGACCTCCTGGAGGACAGCGGGGCACAGAGAGCAGGATGTCAGTGTGCTGGCCTGGGATCAGCACTTCCCTTGCACTCGCCCATCCTAGGCCAGCATCTGGGGAGACACCTTCCTAGTATCTGGGGATGCCCAGGCCAGCATCTGGGGAGATGCCTTCCTAGGCCAGAGACGTGGGCACCCTGTGGACGCTGAGGCGGGCTGGAATTTCTGTGGCATCTCTGCCTGTCTCCAGGCCATACACCAGTTCCCTCACCTCACGCCGGGTACAGGACAGCGGCTGTGCTAAGTTAGTGCTCTCGTCTCCTTTCACCCTGTCCCCACACTCGGGGGTCCTTTGACAAACAGAAGCTGCAGAGCAGAGCGGCTTTCATGGGGCCGCTTGTGACCAGCAGACCTGGAGACCTTGAACTGTAGCAAGTGTTCAGAGTCTCCCAACACCTGGCAAATTAAGGGCAGATGAATTCTCAGTAGGGGCCTGGGAGTGATGCAAATGCTATGTGTCTGCAGTTTGTATCTGTGGGTAGGTAATGTTCTCTCTTTCTAAATCCAGTCCTCCTCCTCTGTCCTTCGCAGATGACCAGGATGCGGAGGTGTTGGGGGAGCCCAGCCAGCCGTCATCTCGGGAGCAGTCTGACTAGGCCCAAGCCCTCGGGCCAGCAGAGTGGGCCCTTAGGGGTGTGACAGGAGTTTGTTTCTATTCATTGATGTGCAAGGAGGAAGGATAGTGATAGGCATAAGGTAACAGTTAATTTCCATTTAAGTTAGGAGGAAAAAGGGTGATTTCTCAGGCTCTCTCTGTCCTGAGATTGTGGAGGAACGTAGAGGATGAAGTTACCAAGGAAGGGCCAGGGCTCTGAGCACTGGGGGGGCTGGTGGAAGCTCACATTTAGGAATGAATTTTACCATCTCTGGGTTGTGCTACTGTTTCTCAGACTCACACCGCAGAGGTGGTCTTTGATTTCTTCAGGCCCCACTCCAGGACAGGAGGCACCATCTATTTCAGCCTTCTGCTTCTGCCACCTCTGCTTGGTCCCCAGCTCGGGGCAGCATAGACATCAAGCTTCCAGCACATTCTGGAAGCTGGTGCGAGCAGCCAGGACCAGGGCATTGACAGCGGGTTCTGCAGCGTCCTTCCTGCTGCTCGTCTCCCTGGCCACAGCCTCTTGCCTTCTCCAAAGGGCTTTCTAGTAAGCATCCTGCCCGTTGGGGCTACTTCACCTCACCTCCATGAAGTTCAAGCCACTATTGGCATCATTTTTTGTTCAAAAAAACTGTAAAGTTTGACTATTTTGATGTTTTTATAGTGATCGCCAACTTTAAAAAGTAGGCTGTTCATAAGCACTGATGCAGTTCTCAGAATAGTGCTTCCAAATCACCTATGATGTCAGCAGTTTCTTCTCTGGGGACAGTTGACTTGAAATAAAATGAGCAGTGAAAATCCTTGTGGATGGTTTATTCTCTCTAAATCCTTGAAGAAGGCTCGTTTGGGTAGAGTGGCCGGGCCTGGGTTTGGGGTGTGTTGGTTTGCCCTTGATCAGTGCAGGTGCCGGGAGTGAATGATTCCTCACGGAGTGGCAGAGTCCTGTTCTCCATTCATGGAAGGACTGGCTCGCAGGATATAGTTGACCTGCTTCCCGTCCTGCCTGTGGGCAGGGATGTCCAAGCATCCAGCTATTCTCAATGTCAGTGGGATGGCTGGGGGCCTGGACCTGCTCTATGGGAAGGCATAGCAGCTCAATCAGGAATTTCACAGACAGTGCTTTTAGCAGGACAAAGCCAACATTCTTTTTTTCTTTTTTTTAAGATTAATTTATTTATTTATACAAGCACTGGGTACACTCAGAAGTGCGGGAGGGTGAGAGAATTCGCCAGAGCCAGAGCGGGGAGCAGAGCAGGCAGAAAGACCGAAGTACACTGCTGAGGGGAGCAGCAGGTGGCAGGAGAGGTCTGCGCGCCATGTGGGTCCCTTGCCCAGCGGCCAGGGATCGAACCGGTGCTGCAGAGGCTACAGAAAGCCTCGCAACCCAGCGCTCAACCGCTGCGCCACCGGGAAGGCCCCAAAACCAACATTCTGAGGCCTGCAGGGCAGCATGGGCTTCAAAGTGGACCTGATGAGGCAGTGATTTTGGACTACACTGGTTTTGGTGTGACAGCCACCCATACTCTTGTCCTGCCACTGGTACTGCACTGCAGGAACATGGAAGCAGGGGTGTAGAAGGCCTAGTTTCTGGTTCCACTTAGCCTCGCCCCCGTTTTGAGTGGACTTCTGACCTCAGTATGGCCGGGCAGGTCTGGATCAGTGATCCTAGTTTCTCATAACACTTTATCCTCCCCACTTCTCCAGCCACCTCTCTGGCACACCCTGAATCAGGGAGAAGAGGATGAAAGCAGATCAGCAGATAAGGGTAGCCTACTCATCCCAGTTTGACTATGACCAGAAAAACCTGGAAGGCAGCATGAGGCATTCCTTGATACCGGATGCACTGGCAGGGGACCTGCCAGTAGAGGGCGCAGGGCAGCAGCTATGGGTGGGGTGGCAGAAATAGGACCTCCAGGGCCCACCCCATCTGTTGCTAAGCGACAGGCCTACAATTTCCTGGCATCTCCGCTGGGTTTCTGAAGAACCTCCTTGAGGCCCTTCTATGGAGATGGGATTTCCCTGCGAAATGAAAATGATGAACCTATAGGTTGGGCTATGTGATCACCAGCCTCTACAACTCACCTTTGCACAGTCTGTCTGTAAAATAGAAACCCTTCCATCTTTGTCTTCAGAGTCCCATAGGTATTCCCAGTTTCTCTCCTTCCTGTGCCTCTGCACATACAGAGTCTCCTGCTGGCTCCTTTGGGCCATATTACTCTGATCTATTTATCCTTTCATACTTCATCCAGGCACCCTGCCTGCAGGCCCCCTCAGGCTGGACTAAGCTGTCCTGGCCCCCGCCACCCTTTATGTCCATTCCACTGTGTAGATGTCGCCCCCTCTCTTATCCCCCACAAGTCTGCGCTTCCTGGAGGCAGTGACATGGTCTCATTTGTCCCTGTGTCCCCAGCTCCCTTGGTGGAGCGCAACATTGCTTAGTCCTGTAGTCATGGAGACCCTTTTGGCAAATGAAGAGTTGAATTTCAGGCCACCTTACGTATTTTTGGGTGGAGGTCTGAGGTGCCTTATCTCTGGCCACTCACTGCAGCATCTTTTGCCTTAGACTTGTGGTGTCTCTGCTGGGATCCCACATAGGTCAGAGGAACGGAGAGTTGGGGGTCATTGAAACTGTACTCTTTGCCAAACTCTGCACCCTCTCCCACACTGATCTCAAAACATGGGGCTGTCATCCCTGTGTTATGAAGTGAAGCATAGAGAGGGGTAGTTGTTTTCCCAAAGATGCACAGTTTGTGCAGAGGCAGCATACATGTTTGGGCACCAAGTATATAGAGTTTTAAATATCTATTTGCCCTGATTTACCATTTTGAGATTTTTTGAATATGGACCATGTACATGATCGGACCACCCCAGTGTCTGGGCAGTTTCTAGCATAGCACAGGAAGAACCACCTAAGCATGTTTGCCACCTTCAACCACTGCTCACTCCCCTGACCACAGCTTGCAAAGCCTCCAGAGAGAATGCTACGTGGGCATCATGCTGAGTCGAAGTGGGAAAAGCCCACAGGGCCAGATGGCAGTCAACATCATGGTGCCCCACAGACTGCAGTCCACCCCCAAGTGGCTTATAAGGCATATGAACAGGCCAAATACAATGAACAAGCTAGCTCAAGTCTTAACATTTTTTAAAAAATGAAATCATTGAAATATTTTTTTTCAAGCTCGTGTAATTTCCTTTTGAAAATGAACAAAAAAGTGTGAAGTCATTTTTTAAAATAGTATTAATAGAATATTAAAATTTGAATCTAAACCCTTTCACAAGGTAGATGAGACATTTATCAATAATGATGCTTTAATTCAAATGTAACCTGGGTAACAGTTTTGATTCCTACTGGGATTTTTTTTCTTGCTCATTTCTTCACCTTATTCCAGACTTTTTATTTGTGTTTAAAAATAATGAATGGTAAGGCCTCCTTGGTGGCGCAGGCGGTTGAGCTCCGCACTGTGAAGCTGCCCGAAGCCTCTGCATTGCCGGTTTTATCCTGGCTGGCCAGGGAGCAACCCACATGGTGAGGCAGACCTCTCCTGTCTTGCCCGCTGCTCCCCTCAGCAGTGTATTTCATCAGTCTGCCTGTTCTGTTCCCTCCTCTGTCTCTGGTGAATCCTCTCACCCTCCTGCACATCTGGCCTGTTTCCTGGTTCTTGTATAAATAAATAAATCTTTAAAAAAAAAAAAAAGAATGGTGAATAGGAGGAATGCAGGAAAAGGGGAAGCCGCTGAGTGTGAGCCAGTAACACATCCCACCCCATCCCAAGAGCCCCACTCTTGGTTTTCTTCTCAGAGACATCTTCCTTTTTTTTTTTTCAATCTTCTAGAGATGTTGTGTACAGGCATTTTGTTGTTTTATTTGTTTAACTAAAATTTAATTTTGTTAGCATTATAGGTTCACATTCAGTTGTTAAGAAATAGTGTGGAGACACCTCCTGGCCTCTTTACCCACTTCCTCCCCAGGGCACGAGATACCATGTCCAGGGGGATACAGCCAGAGCACTGACAAGGGCGCAGCCACCCAGGGGCTGGTTTTCCATTTTTTTCATGTAATTGTTGTACAGGAGGTGAGATTTAAGTTGGAGTTCATTTTTTTTGCCCACAACTGTCCAGCATTGAAAATGCCATTCTTCCTCCATTGAATTGTTTCCATACTTTTTTTTTTTTTTTTGTGGGACCCTCGCCGGTGGTGGGAACGAATCGGCGCTGCAGAGGCTGCGGGCAGCCTCGCAGCCCAGTGCTCAACCGCTGTGCCACCAGGGGTGGCCCGAATTGTTTCCATACTTTTGTCAAAAATCAGTTGAGTCTACTTGTGTGGGTCTATTTCTGAGCTTGCCAATCTGCTCCTTTGATGTTTTTTATTTTTATTTTATTTTTAAAAAAGATTTATTTATTTATACAAGCACTGGGTACAGTCAGAAGCGCAGGAGGGTGAGAGAATTCACCAGAGCCAGAGCGGGGAGCAGAACAGGCAGACTGACGAAGTACACTGCTGAGGGAGCAGCGGGCGTGGCAGGAGAGATCTGTGTGCCATGTGGGACCCTCGCTGGCAGTCGGGGATCCAACTGGCGCTGCAGAGGCTGCGGGCAGCTTCACAGCCCAGCGCTCAACCGCTGCGCCACCAGGGGAGGCCCTGATCTGTTTTTTAAAAAACACCATCGTAGCATATGATCCACACTGATTGGGGTGTTTCTCTTTTTCATTATCCCCAGATCGAGGCTTCTGAGCCTTTTTTTGGGTGTCATAGGCCCCTTTGTCAGTTGGGGAGTCTCTGGCCCCTTCTCTGAGGAGTGGGTAAAATAAAAATGCATAAGGTTACAGAGGAAACCAATTATGTTTAATATACTTGTCAAGATAGAGAAATGCACTTGCTGTTCAGCAACACATGCACGGCTTTACTCACATGAAGTGGTAAGATCTGGCTCCTCATTAGTAATAGTTTCAGAGTAGTGATACTGATGTGTTAAGATATTTGCAACAACTGTGATGTGATGTGAGAAAATCTGTGATTTCTACCTATGACCAAGTCACTGGTAATTTGAGGGCGGGGGGTAGGGTTTATGCCTTACAATCATAGCTGAAGGCAGTACTGAATTCTATAGAGGTTAGTGAAAATGAAGATATAATTTTTCCCCAGCCAAATTCCCTGAGCCCTCATGCTCTTCAGGACCCCATGGGGGCCTGCATTGGTGCTTAGAGACTCTGCTACCTTCCTCATGCTACTTAGACTCTGCCAATAAGCACCTGGCTCTGCGCATTCTGTGTAGACTTTCATCAGATCCTTTCCAATCTTTTGCTGTTATTGCTAACTTAAGTTTTTAAAAGATTTAAAGATTTCTCCCTTCTCAAGAGGGTCACCATGCTGACCCCCTTGCATTCAGAGACCCTTGGCTGAGATACATACCCAGCTCTGGGTGAGCTGTTTCTCCCCCTTGTCTGTCTCTTTCTGGGGCTGCCCTCACTCCACCTCATGACATCTACCCTAGCCGAGGCTGGGGACCCCATGCTGTCACGGGGGATTATGTGGGTAGGCAGGCTTCGGAGGGTTCCCCAAGCTGCGAGCATCCTGTGAGCAGATGTATGCTCCTCTGCGTCTTTGTGCTGTTTTATTAACAGCAGATCGCAAGACACTAACATTCTATCATGTCAGCTCTTGTACTTGAGCTAGCGCAGGCATTGGCCTGTCAGTAATTAGCTGCTGGGTGGTGTCTTTTCTTCATCTTTTTTCTCTTTTTAATTGGAATCAGAACATCTTTTTTTCTTTCTTTCTTTTTTCTTCTGGATAGTAGA